ATACACACTGTCCTAGCTTTTTGGGAATTGGGATTATAACTCATTACAGCTGTCTAAACAGCACTGCCTTATAAGTAAGTGCAGTGTTTTGTTATATATATGAATATATATTTCTTATACATAGTATGCATATATTTAAGTAGCCATAGTTTTCAGGGTTTTCCCTTAGGTAATAGAACCTGGTACCAGGTACTTTTTCAGTACCTACTTGCCCAGTGTTCCAAGTGATCCAAGCAGGTACTAAAATATGACGTTGTCAGACTGCACGCCACCAATTGGCTGGTCAGTAGGGTTACTCGATGAGTCATGAGAGCTTCTCGTTTATGAAATTCAGAATTGCCATTTTTCAACCAGAGACATAGCAGCAGGTATCGCGTTGCCTTGACATCTACCTTTGTTGTAGGGTTTGTTTTACATACTAATTACATCACGGGACAACAACAATGTACATTAGGTAGTAAACCCTGTTAAGTCGTGGTGATCCATGGTGAGTTGATCCAACTAGGTACTAATACAAAAAGTTCTTTTGATTTAAGCAGAGCAGGGCTGAGCGCATAGCAGTAATCCACAACTTGTTGTTACAATAAACAAGATTATTTACATTCTCAGGAGTGGCCCCAACAGACTAAGAGACTTGGAGAGTATAATCCCAACCTAAGGTGGAGCCAGATAGAGGACAACTTAAAAACGTAACATGGACAGAGTAAAAAGCACATATGCATAAACAACACTGTCGGGAATATTTAGGAGATCTAAGCATGCTGCACTTAAATATGTAAAAGGAGAATTGGAGATGCAATACCAAGAAAAGAACAAACAGCTGACCCAAATTTCTAAGAAATTAGCAGTTGGTTAAATAGTATGATTCAGGGCGTGCACATCAGAAAGAAATGTATTTAGGTTTGAAAACAGAGTTAGAGAAATATATAAACTTCAGCTGGAAACCGGCTAATAGAAACTCAATAATGCATGATATTAGAATGTTTCTATGTCTTACATAAGCTTGGAGTGAACACTTTAAAATAAGATTGAAAAAAAAAAAATATATATAGATGCATGCTTCATGGAGAAATCAAAAATATGCACCGTTTGCCTTCTCTCACCGAGTAGAATCATTGTCGTTTGACTCATCATGAGAGGCAGAGAGCCTTAGCCTGAAGCACCCCCTCCTCTCTACATCCCTAATGTCTACCATTAAGCCTGTTTTGACAGAAGATTACGTGGCGCCTTTCTTTTAACTGTAGGAGGCCGTCCACCCACTCTGCTCTTGTGGCAGTACAGAAGAATGTGAAGGTTGACCAGAAACATTATTCTCATTATTCTTTGATGGAAATCATAGTCACAGCCACATATGTGGAAAAAACCCTGCAAAGTCTCACTTCACTTTTTATGGTTTGACATCGTCCACATTTTGAAGAAGGCATTAATAAAATCGCATTGCTTGAAAATTTCAATTTTGAATGTCTCTTGTCTTCACTGGCAAACAAAGCAGAAAATATGGTCAAACTGAAGGACAAGAAAATCCATGAAAACCCCATTCTGCAACTCAAAGATTTACCCCCCACATCCCACCACCAGACACTAATTATGGCCAAAAGGATACTCACAATTATTTTAATCAATATTGAGATCACTTGTTTCTCACAACCTTACCTTGATTTTAGTGACAAAACTGTTTTTAATGGACTGTCATTTGACTGCTGCTTTCACATCCATGTTGTTCTACATTCTTACTACAGCAAAATAAAATTGGTCCTCCAAATTCACCTAAATTCAGTGCATCTCTAAAAAATAAAGAAAAAGAAAAATCGCTCAGCTTTCCCATTAACCTTGTTCTAAATTCCCGTTTATTAAGTCCCTCTCTTAGAAGCAAAATAGAAAGTGTTTCACTTCGTACCTGCATAATGGATGTGAAGAAAAAAATCCAGAGAAAAGTATTCAACATCTGTGAGATCCGTTTTTCCCTTCCATGTGATGTTTTGCATATTGTACTGTGGAGGTATTGCCAGTTAGAGTAAATCATTGCGTGAGGGGATAACATATCTTTGGTTGATCGGAAGTATTTGCCTTGAGAAAAAAGCTCTTCACCTTCTGCTGTTACAGACATTGGAATCGATGATTGTTGTATGCCCGACTGTGAAATGCATAAGTGGAAGAGGATGGATTGATGAATGGATGGATTTGCCTTATGATGTAGTGTTACTCATCCAGGAAACATCAAGCAGCATAGTTACAGTGCACAGTTTTGACTGGCACATGCAGGCACATCATCAGGCATAGTTTTAGGGTTTCTTTTGCTTTGCATTTTAATTGGCTCAGCAGGCATTTTTTTTAATATTACTTAATAATGTTCATTTAATTGTAGGAAAACAAAATTATGATCAAGATTCAAATTCGACTGTGCAGTCCTAGTCCTATCGTTCCTCACTATGGGGGCACGAGTATGAATGTGCCCCCATAGTGAAGCAGTGCAATTTTTCTGGATTACTTGCAGGAATTTGAAGGGATTAATCGTTTTATGAGTCTGCTGATCTCCAAGTGAGAGTTTATAACACTGAACTAACAGCTTTTTTATTTTTGAGTGCAATTTGCTCTGTATGTAAATGAATATTAAAAAAGAAAAGAAAAGAAATTCTATAATGTGTTTACACATAATTTGGGGAAAGCTCAACGTGCACTCCCACATTACTATAGACGAGCATGCCCACTGTATGTACTACATCTTTATCTTCAACTTCTCTTTGTTTTCAATACATTTCTTCTGCTTTTCTCTTCCTATTTATCTCCCTCATACCTCACACTGCTGAATCATATTTGATTCATGGGAAAGTTGCTGCTCTTGTCTGTGTTCCAGCACCGTTATGCTCTCATAAAATTTGGCTTTGATTGATTACCTGCATTTCTTTATCCCTTCCTCCTTTTCTATCCCTCTCTGTAGTCCATTAGTTATGGTAATGTTGGGTTAAATACATCTTAACTTGCTGGTGATTGATTTACACTTCCACACCCATAAGCATCCCCTCCCTTTCTTCCCTCCTCTCTCGCACTCTCCCAGCACTGTAATGCATAACTTTTGAGGACAGATGCTGTTAGTGTTTGGAGCACTCAGGCTAAAAGGCGGGCATAGCTGACAGCTCCACTGTACAGCCTGCTGACAGAGCTCGAGCTGAGGGGTCAGATGATGAATCTGCTGTGTCACACAACTACACAGAACTAAGTGCAATGCTTCTGCCACCAAGACTCACATGGCGTATGTGACAGACACACAACATAGATCTATATATATAGCTTGCTTTATTTCTACAGCAGAGCAAAAAACACACAAAAGACAGTCTTACTAGCTTATTAGAAATGATAGTTGCTGTTTGAGCATTGTCATAATATATGGTAAAATGCACTGCAGGCAACCTGCAGCATGCAGGTCTTAACTCACCATGTTTACAGTATTGATCAGATGAAACTGTCTTACTCAAAACACTTTGTTATAACACTGAACTGAAATGGCAGTTTTGTTGTTTCATATTTGCAGCAGTCATTTGTAACTATAATTTTTTTAGCTACTACTGTGGCTGGAAAATAACATTTTATTGGTTTTCTGCTTACATTTGTCCTGATCATGCAACAGTGCACTGGCCATAAATTAACATTTTTAATCAATCCAATTATACTTTTACTCTTCTTTTATTTCACTCATATTTTTCTTGTTCTTAGTCTGTTTTGCAGAGTTACAGATAATACAGGTAAGCTGCTATTTTTGAAAAAATTGCTAAAATTTACAACACTACACACAGCCACTTCATTAGGTACACCTGTTCAGTTACTCATTAACGCAAATACGCAAACAACCAAACACATGTCGATATGGTCAAGTGATTCTGAACATGTATTTTAGAAAGTGCTGATTAACACATATTTCACTGCACATATCTCTGGAATGGTCTGAAAAAGAAAAAAATAATAATATAAATATGTTACCTAGATATCAACTTAAAGTAGGGACCACTTGTCACAAGATATGCAGAAGACCCTCTATGAATGCACAACGCAGCTAACAATGAAGGAGAAGACCTCACCTGGTATGCTTCCTGTCAGCTAAGAACAGGAAACGGAGGCTAAAACTTGTATGGATTCACCAAAAAAGATAAACAGAACATTGAAAAAACATCTCCTGGTCTCATGAGTCTCAATTTCTGATGAAACATTCAGCTCTGAAAGCAAAAAATAATCCAAACTGGTACTAATAACGTGTAACTAATAAGGTGGCTGAAAAGTGTACAATTCATGAGCTCATGCTTTAACTCATATGTGATCGAACAAAAGTAAATAAAGATAAATAAACAATATGCCCAGCATAACTACATACTTTCAGGCAATAATATTTTAGCTTGAAAATAAAAAAATAAAAAAAAGATTGATGTATTTTCTCTTTTTAAGGACTAATATAAGTTTTTCTTGTGAGGAAGTTAATGGGCCTCAAAGACATTAAAGAGATGTCTACAACTTGAAAGTTTGTTACATTGAAAGAAGAGAAAGAACATGCACGTCGACAGACAAACACACACAACATCCCATTCACACCCTTACAAAACACAGGCTCGTGCTTACATGCTGGGTGTTAATGTGAAAGCCTGAACACTTCAGGGACCCAGTGATCCCCAGATCCATCTCTGACCTGACAGCAGTCCTCCATTAGCCTCACACGCACACGCGCACACAAATGCCGCAACAGAATGCACTCCTAAAATACTCTGTCAGAAACACACATGTGGCACACATACAGGATACATCTGAGCTGGAGAGCAGGGGTAAAGTCATGCACAGAAGTCACAGAAACCAGACGTACAGCTGCTGAACCCAAAACATAGCACTTGGAGAAAAATATCTAAACAATTCCTTTGTGTAATTAAAATTCTCCAAATCATACAAGTAAGCACAAAAACAAAGGCACTTTAGAGAAAGCACATATTAACTAATGCAAATGTGACACGAGGTCGCCTCACCTGTCGCGATCCCCAGCTGTGATGTTATGAAGGTGATTAGCAGCTCCATCAGCACATGCCCTCAAGAGAGCTATAGAAAGAAAGATGCATATTTATCCAGTTTGTTTGAAATAAATGGTGCATATTTCTACAATTTCCTCTAAAGGTGCAACAAGATTCTCTTCAAACCTTTACGAACACACATGTAGTGTTGATCAAGTCTCTTATGGATCAGTAACCTGGATACAGTCACTTCAGGATTTCTTGAGTCAATTTTTATTTTACCATATACCATAACTTTAATTTTTTTCCATACGCCTCATTACCATAATTAAGAAATGTGCCATTATGAGTGCGAAAAATAAAATAATTAAGGAGCTTGTATATTTAGATACGCTATCATTAGGAACCAGCTCACACGCGACATCTTTCCACTGTCACTTCTAATAAATGTAATTCACACTCGCTCTTTTTATCCCCGAAAAGTTTCCTTTCAAAACGTGTCAAGTGTTTTGTTTGTTTTTTCAAAAAACACATTTATACAAAAAGGGACTTATATAACATTAACAATGTGTTATTTTTAAGAAAGTACTTTGAACGCCAACATCAGCATTCCCAAGGTTTTTTGATAAATGGATTTACTTCAATCATTGCAGAAATGTACAAAGTTTGAATAAGGTCCAAATTTTTTAGAAAGAAACCACTTTCTCCCAATGAAAACATTACAAGCGGCGCGTTCCACAGTGCCAGCAAAGCATTATGGTTAAAGCTATTTGACCCTTTAAAAGGGAAAGGCAGCGAAAGAGCACTTATCTTTTTAACTTTAAGTAACACTCAAATGATGGGATTATTTGCCATTCTTAAAATATTATTCAAGTTGCACTAAATTAGATGCAAACCATTTGCAAATGTATGCTCTCTCTCTCTCTGCTTCTATTCTATTCAAATTTAACACGCAACCTATTTTTTAAGAGCCCTTTTCTGTTTAGGGCTGCCGTGTTCACACAAGGGAAAACTTCAAAGGATCAGCCAAAGTTTTACTTTCACCTTGTTTAAAACTAACTAAAGCCTGCACCACAGAGACGGGCAACACTCGTGCATTTTTATGTCTCTAAAGCTTTCTTTTCAAGAACTGTGTCCATTCCCCCAACCCAGTACTTTTCATACGCTTGTGTTTGGAACACGGAACCCCCCCAAAGTTTACTTCTCATTTAATGTGAACTTAGAAAAGAAGACATTAGTCTAAATAAAGTGGTATTTAGCGTTTGAATATTACTTTGCATTCCTAGGTGTTTCATTATTAACTAAATAATGCTGAAAAGATGTTTGGCTGTGGTATAAAAAAAAAAAAAAGGAAAAAAAAAAAAAATCACACTCCTGGGAAAAGACGCACTGCTTTTCACACATCATACATGCACATACTGAGTGAACTGTGACAAGAAATACAACAGATGTGCAACAGTGTCAACTTGAAATAGGTGCTAAAACCGACTTTTACATATGGCACAACTTTTAACACATCAGCAGCACCGTGGTCTCTAAAAATACGTGAAGGACTTAACAATGTACATCACACCTACATACTGTAAATCACATTTAAACGTATGCTAAATTGGACGCAATTAGCGAGATAAAAGGAGAAGAATGATTATTCTCACATTCTGAGTCTAACTCCCCTCACCCTTAGCTCTTAAAAAGCGACAACGCAGATGCATTTGCACTGATGTAAATAAGACGCTTATACTGAAGGTACTGCTTTTATTCATAACCTCCACCACCTGCTGCCGATGTTTCACGTCAAGAAATGATTGGAATGTAAATGACTCATTATCTCTGACAGAGAGCAAAGGCTAAGAAACTTTTCAAATGACAACTCCTTGAAAAACAGAAACTTTCCTTTAAGACCGGTGACAGACTGTAAAGCTATCAGTCATTATCTGTGTATAAGTGTGTGCATGCACACACAGACACTGAATAATTTTCAGACTTCACACAAATTTGAGAACAGTAACTTCTGTCTGTCAGTTGTTTTTTTGCAGCTCTGTCTATATTGCGCTCCATTTAAGCGTACAAACACATGTGGTTACAATAAATCTAAAAGCCTTACCAACATCAGAAAAATGTTTCAAAATGATGTATTGTCATTTGTAGCAATGATTATTACATGCAATAGCGTGGCTATATTTATTTTACTTGTAGTGATCCAGTAATCTCGACACATTCTTTCTAAGTTGTAAGAAAAAGAGCTGCCAGTCCGTCACTCAGTAACACTTTAGAGCCGGAGACTTCTCCTAGACAATACTTGTTTAGATGTGCAGTACTTCCAGTACTGTCTAAAAGTCCATTTTAACTTTACATGACTTTAAAATGCAAATAGAAAATCTTATAAAAGATTGTTTTTACAACCTCCTGCCTGACTTAAAATAAGGACAGTTTACAGCGATGAGTTAAAAAAAAAAAAGCAATCTCATAAAATAATAATAATTGAGCAGTGGTGTAACAGCACAAAACCAAAAGCTATGTATTTGTTAAGCAAGCAAGAAACTACCTGTTCTTAACAAGTGTTAGCATGACTCTGCTCAATAGGCGATCAATTAATTTGTTATATTTACAGTTTATTTCGAGTAAATGGGTTAAGAATTAACATTTTGCTGCAAATACAATGATTTCTTGGTGAATGATCATCTTGCAAGAGGTGTTTGCAGACACACAGACAGTGATTTGGTGTATTATAGTGAGAATGTTTGCATGTTAAATGTCAACCGTTACGGTCCTTTTCTTGTGTTGCAGGTCTGCCTCATGAGCCACAGCTGAGGTGTGTTCCAGCTCGTCAGCCACGGCATATAGTCTGCCATCCTAAACTGCCACAACCCTGCCACTTTCCCCATTTTTGCCAGAGCTATGAGCTGTAGTGTTTTGGGCAGCGGGCCTTAGTGTGTATGGGTGTGAGAACTTAAACTCTGTGAACTTTGGTTTTCTTTCTTTTATTGTAAGCAAAGGTGTGCCCTTATTGTGTTAATTAGTTCATCATTGTGGAAGCAGGTAGGGGTTCTCTGCCATTTTTGTTTCAACTGTTTTCTCCTGTTTTTGGTTAGACATGGAGCTCAGCCATTGTATTGTGTTTTGGTTAGTGAGTACTTGGTTTGATTTTTAGCTAAAGGGGGTGTTTTGTTTGTTGTTTTGGCCTTGGAGACCCTGAAGAAAAGAGCTTCCCTGTGTTCATTTTTACTGTAGTAGTTTTGGGCAATAAATCACGTTTAAATGACATCTATTCTCCAGTAGTTCATGTGTTCTCTTTCACTTTGTGTTACCCCTCACTCCAGTCAACACTTCGTTTTTAAGTGGGGCATAACATCAACTGATGTAGAGGCCTGAAATATATTCCTCCATAGCTTTGCCAGTGGTCAGAAAATTGCTTGAGAAGCATTTATTTGGTCAGTCAGCTGACATGTGCCTGATAATCCCCATTTAAAGACATTTTATACATGATACAGTGTGGCCATGCTGAAGTAAACTGAATTAGCATCAGCCCTTAGGACCAGGTTGGACCAAATGCCTGTGACTCACTGGCTAATTTTCTATGGTTACTTGTATTTTTTTCCCCTCTAAATTGTCACTGTGAAGGCCTTTGATTCATTTCTGCATGTCAAATACTCAGAAAGTGAGTTCTCCTGTTTTAACACTGCTATTCTTGACACAAATCCTTTAGAGTCAGAAATGTGCATACAACAGATTTCTCAATGTCCCATTTGTCTTCATCACAGTAAATGGCTCAAGTGGGTAAACTGAACTTGAGAAAGATTATCTCTCCATCTGTACTCTATCCGCAGGCAGTAAAATCTAATTACTGTTATTCTGTTGTTTGAAGAAGACCACAAATACAACAATTAACTCATCTTCTCCTTCATATCAGGGCATTTGAGCCTAACAAGCTCATTCACATACATACAAACACAGCAGCATAAAGGTTTTGGGAACCCAGAATTTATGTCACTGTTAAACTGATGTCCAAAAGGCATGATGTTAAATATTAAATATTACTTTCTACATTATTATTTTTATTTTGTATAATTTCAAAGGAAAGAGTGAAGGAGTGCTATGCTAAAGTTCGGGCAGAGTTCAAGCTTTCATAACTTAACAGAGTGTCCTTTTACCTTGTTCAAAAGCTAAAAGGACATAGGATGCAAATTTCAAAGTTATACATAGTGCTTAGACCTTGTCCTATCAATCAGCAGTCATGGGTTCCTCTAAGCAGCTGCCTAGCATTCTGAAAATAATCGATGCCCATAGAGAACAGACGAAAAATGGTTTTGGGGTAGCCACTTGCTCATTTAATAATCCAGTTAAGAAATAGAAATTAACAAGTATGTGGAGGTCTTGCTAAGATCTATAAGGGAACTTTCCAAGAAAATTGTTCACAGGATAAGCAGAATGGCAAATCACTTATTTCTCCTAAAGAGGCCTTGAAGAAGATTTTGAAGCCTCTGTAGTGGTGGTGTAACAATCCTAATGTATCTTGGAAACAGGGTCTGTGGACTGATAAAGTTATAACAGTTTTGTTTTTTCTGTATTTTTGAAGCAGAAACACATTTGGATTTTAAAAAAGGCTGAATAAGTTTGGTGGAAGCATATGGATAAATTGTCTAAGGAGCTTGGAAAGAAAAGCGACTGGACTTGTTTAAGTTGCTTGAAGACGTTTCATCTCTCATCCGAGAAGCTTCTTCAGTTCTGAGGGTCAAATGGTGGAGAGTCCCAGATTTAAACCCAGTGGGAGTTTCTCCCTAAAGAGGGACAAAGGACCCCCTGATGATCCTCTACCTAATCACATGAGCCAAGGTGTAAAAATGGGTGTGGGTCACAATCAGCCAGGGTTTCGGGTGAGCTCATTGTGAAACCTGGCCCCTCCCTATCATGTGATTTCCTGAGGTCAGATGGCCCAGGATGTGAGTGGGTGTTAAGGCGTCTGGGAAGGGTTCTCAAAACTGGATTATAGATGGCAGACAGTTGGTGTCGTAAACCACCACCTCTGTTCAAAGATCACACAGTGGACATAGATGGCTTCTTTCACTCCTCTTTCAAACCATCTGTACT